GAGTCAACTTAGCCTTTTATCGATATAGAATAAACTTGCTTAATTAGTCCAGTGTAGAGACCACAAAATCTGAAATATTTAGATCGGTGGTTCTCAACCTTCCTAATGCCGCGACCCTTTAATACAGTTCCTCATGTTGTGGTGACCCCCAACCATAAAATTATTTTTGTTGCTACTTCATAACTGTAATTTTGCTACTGTTATGAATCGTAATGTAAATATCTGATATGCAGGATGTATTTTCATTGTTACAAATTGAACATAATTAAAGCATAGTGATTAATCACAAAAACAATATGTAATTATATATGTGTTTTCCGATGGTCTTAGGCGACCCCTGTGAAAGGGTCGTTCGACCCCCAAAGGGGTCACAACCCACAGGATGAGAACCGCTGTTCTTAACTTTCTAAATCTCCGTTTTCTGACTAATGAAAAGAAAATAAGATTCCACCGAGTCTCCTATCTACCTATTACTCCAGGACTTCTGTGAGGATCAAATGAGATGAGGCACTGGTAAATGCTTCACAGACATTTGGTTAAAGTGTGAAATTTTTGCACCTGGCTACAAAGCAAGTTGTGTTTCTGGGCTGAAGAAACTGCAAGGAGGCTAGTAGTCGCCAGGGAGAGGAAGCCGGGCATTGCTACATGATGTCATTACCTGGCGCCCACAGCCACCATTTCCAGGCTGGGCTGGGCTGTGCAACGCATTTTGCGCCATGGGGTCTTGGCAGCATCAGCTGCGATTTGGTGGGGTGTCACTCCGGGGTGGTGGCGGGCCCTGTAGGAGAAGCCAAGTGTTGCTTTGTGGGCGCCAGGTCCACAGTGCCATTTCTCTGTGTGCATCAAGGCAGCTGCTGCATTGAACATCTGCCCCCTAGTGGTCAGTGCGTGTCATAGTGACAGGTCAGATGATTGGACACTTAGCATATTAGCCTTTTATATATATAGATGATGCTCCTTTAATTTTTAAAGCCTTCCTAAAGCCTTGAAATGATGGCTTGTGGCTCCTGCTGTGGGCCCTGAGTGCAGCTGACTTTCTGGCCCTGAATTCCCGTTCTCTTGCTTCATTGCCAGGCGCAGCCAGGCTCATTTAGTGACATCTGGACAATAACGTTCCTGCTCCATGTTTCAGCTTTTAAAAATTAGTTGGCTTCCTCCATCACTGAAGCAAGCAAGCCTCCTGTTTGCTTCAAGCTGCCTGGCTGCCGGCCACCATCTTGGTTGGCAGTTAATTTGCATATCTCGCTGATTAGCCAATGGGAAGCGTGTCAGAGTTACGGTTAATTACCATGTTTCTCTATTATTATATAGGATGATGCTCCCTTAATTTTTAAAGCCTTCCTAAAGCCTTGAAACTACAGCTTGTGGCTCCTGCTGTGGGCCCTGAGGGCAGCCGACTTTCTGGCCCTGAATTCCCATTCTCTTGCTTCATTGCCAGGCGCAGCCAGGCTCATTTAGTGACATCTGGACAATAACGTTCCTGCTCCATGTTTCAGCTTTTAAAAATTACATGCCATTCTATGATCTTGCAGTCATATTTTGATGGCCTCGGGTTTTAAGAAAAATTTAGTATTCTTTGAAGAAAATATGTAGTTATATTTAGTTTTATACTAGATGTAGCAAAGAACCAAAAGTGTAATTATAGGTGTACCCAGTTTTTGAAAAAATGGATACATGAAAATTCTCTTAACATGGTTATATTTGGAGAGGATTTTTCACATTAAAAACATCACCACTTCCCTGGCTGGTGTTTTTCAGTGGTTAGAGCATTGGCCGGCCCACACACCAAAGGGTCATGGATTTGTGTGTGTTTTTTAAAAAATATATTTTTATTGATTTCAGAGAGGAAGAGAGAGGGAGGTAGAAACATCAATGACAAGAGAGAATCATTGATTGGCTGCCTCCTGCATGCTCCCTACTGGGAACCAAGCCCACAACCCAGGTATGTGCCTTTGACTGGAATTGAACCCAGGACCCTTTGGTCCACAGGCCAATGCTCTATCCACTGAGCCAAACCAGCTAGGGCTGACAGATCATGGATTTGATTACTGGTCAAGGGCATGTACCTGGGCTGCAGATTTGATCCCCAGTCCTGGTCAGGGTATGTGTGGGAGGCAACCAATCGATGTGTTTTTCTCATCTCTCTCTCTCTCTCTCTCTCTCTTTCCCCTACCCACAGCCCCTGCTTCCTCCCTTCCACTCTCCCTTTAAAAAAAAATCCATGGAGAAAATATCCTTGGGTGAGGATTCACAATAGCAACAAAAGTTTAAGTTCCCAGGCTAGTTAGAACAAGAATAGAATTGTTTCCTCATGCTTCAACCTGCATAATGTTAATAATTTTAGCAGCCTAGTTAAAGAGACTCCATTTTATACATTCCCTATCCATACTCGTTCCTTGCATGATCTGGCCCCTGGACACCTCTCTGAGCCCATTTTTTGTTACTCTCCTCCAACCACACCAGCATGCGGTGGATGGTGAGAGGCACTGCCCATCACCCTTCAGGGATTGAGGTACTGCTGGCTGACAGTCCTCAGGAACTGAGAATGGCCTCCCCCAACATCTCATCCCACCCTTTCCCCATGGCAGCCACAGCTGAATGACAAGCCGGTACAAGGGCCCAGCCCCTCTCCCTGGGGTGGGATAGCTCTGAAGGGCATCCAATCTTCAGAACTCCCCCTGGACTGTCTGGGGGCACTTGTTGGGACTGTATCCTGGCTCATCTTCTGCCCAGTCTTGCTTCCTTCCACTCCAATCCCTTCTACAGGTTGATCCCAAGAGCGCACCCTAATAAACATCTCCCGTGCTAATCGCCACCTCAGAAACTGTTTTCTGGGGAACCCAACCTGGGAACAAAGCTCTTTGCTTTTCCTCCAACACCTCAAGTACCCTTTTCCTCAGGGTTTTTGTAATTGCTGTTCCTTCTGCTTATAAGGCTCTTCTCCCAGATAGTCACATAGTTTACTCCCTCACATTTCAAAGTCTCTGCTCAAATGTCCCAGAGCGAGTGGTCCTTCCTGACGACCTGTGTGAACTAGCAGGCACCACCATCACCACATTACTGTCCACCTCACTCAGCTGAATTGTTTTCTACAGTGTTTATCATCATTTGATATATTCTTCCTTGTTTATTTGTTTAATTGTCTCTTGCTATACTATCCCCCTAAGGGCAGGGACTTCATCTATTTTGTTCACTGCCATTTCCATGGTAACCAGACTAGTGCCGGACACATAGTAGAGACTCAGCACCAAGTCAGGCTGGTGCTGGTCTTGCTCTGACCTGATGCCAGTCATTGGCCATTGACATAGTCCCTGCAATGGAAGTCCTGCCTGTGGGCTTCCATCTCGACCTGCCGATCCCTTGGATTCTGAGGCAATGCCTTCCTGGCTTCTATCCTCCATGACAAAGGGTCTGCCTTGTTAGTTCCTCCTCAGTTTTTCTAGAGATTGCAGTCCTGCTCCTATAGCGCAGTTCCTATTTACCTGCTATTAGATGAGCAGAAATCCAGATGTCATTGTATTGTAATTACCAGACTCCCCCGCCCCCCAATCCAAGTCCTCATCAATGTCCACCCATGGTCTGGTCAGCCTGCCTGTCCATGTCCAAACTATGAGCCACACCTCTTACCTTCAGCACCAAGGAGGGCATTGACAGGCAGTGGCACTGCTGTAGGGAAAGAAGGGCCCGAGGGTGTACCCCAGCTCTGTCATTTACAGGGGTATACCCTTGTGCAAGTCTTTCACTTCCCTGAGCTCTGGCTTCTTCCCTTGGAAAGTGCAATCATTGATGTCAGCCTCTCCCAGTGGCTGCCAACAGCACATGGGGATGTATGAAAGGGTCTGGTGCAAAGCTGGCGGTCTGCAAATTTCTCCTGACTCTACCGAAATCCTCTGAAACATCTGCCCTAGTGTGTTCAGTGTAGTAACACCATGTCCTCAGCAGGAAACTCGGAGACTGGATAGCTCTGTGTGCCAAATAGAATATTTCCCATGGGAAAATATTCAGCATTACATGAAGTTCCATAATAATTTCAAACACATTGGAACAATATAACCATAACCTGTGCAGCCAAATATATAGTCAGCCAAGTACATACTAGGTCCAGGCATTCTCTCATCTATGGGGAAGCACAGCTTCACCCCGAAAAGGTAGCCTTGAGTAGACAGGTGGCACTGAAGCATAATGATTTCTCTCTCCCATTCACACATTTGCCAGATTTAATGGAAACATTTATACTTAAACCTTGCCAAATTCCCAGAAACTTTTCTAGTTCTCATTATTATGTTATTCGAAGGAAGGGAGCAATTGCTTCAGTGGTAGGATGCGATATATTTAATAGAGTGCTGAAAGCAAGTTCAACACAAATGACCAATGTGGGCAGGTTGCACAAGTCTAGAGTTATTTCTGTGCGGGGCAATGTTTTCCTCCCTCTTGAGTTGGCTAATGATTCCCAGCAGCTAGAACTCTGTCCAGTGCAATCCAGTTAGCCCACATTGAACACAGGGTCCTGAGAGGAGCTATGTCCACTCTGTTTTAGGGGGCTCCCAGTAAAGATGGAAACGGGAATGCGATTGGGATACTCATTTGTAATTTCTACTCTCGGTGTGAAAGTGGGTCATCAGCTCAGCAAAGAGAGTCTAAGAATACACAGTAAGGTCACCACAATATCTGAAGTCTGAGCTAGCATCTCTTCGGGAATTAAAACCCGTGTGGACACATGATGAACATGTTTAATATTCTTCCACATGGCCAGGTATGGAGCTCCCCTGGCCAACCTGGATGAGCTGTTTCATGCTGGCTTGGCAGGCAGCTCCAGGCGTCATGCATATGCCGAGCTCTCTGCAGTCTGCGCTGCTCTCACCGTCAGCTGCCTTTTCTCTGAGACTCTGCCAGGAGGAGTGTGTTTAAGTCATCATCGATTACTATTGAGTCTGAGAGACATAGTCTCTCCCCTCAGCACACTTGATCCATTCTCTTTCAGGGAAGTGAAAGACTTGCTGAAGGTAACAGTTTCCAAGAAGGCAGTCAGGTTCCTTGTTCCTGTCCAGCTCATGGTTGTTCAGAGGCTCCCCATTTCCTCCTGGGAAGCTGAGTGTAGGAGTCAAGGGGGCATGTGAGCCAGCAAGTGTTTTCCAGGAGAAGCCTTATATATAGACTCCAGGCATACAGACTCAGGGTTTCATTTTCTAAAAAGTAGGAAATGCTGATGGTACGAAGAAAAAATTAAACAGGACACAGGGAAGAGTAAGTCTCCCTCAGCCCACTGACCCCCAGTTCCCTTCCCCGGAAGCAACTACTGTTACTAACATTTTGTGTCCTTCCAGACAGTCTACACATATAAGAGGAGCTTTGATTTTTGAAATGCATTTTTATATGTTCAGCTGCAGTGGTTCATAAAATGCCTTTTCAAACAACTCTCCATGGTAACATAACTTTGGAACACACATAACACACACACTCACACGGACATACACGTGTGCACACATAGTCATTCTCTTAAGCATAAAACAGAGGGGAAATGATGCAACAGAGAGTGACTAGATATATTCCAGTGAGCTGCAGTGGTTAGTGGGTTCTCAGATGGTTCCAGAAAGCTTTTTATACAGAAATAGCTCAATGAGAACACCCAGCCTACCCAGCCCACAGAACCAATCCTAGGAACTTGCCTGTGTGCAATCTTCCCCATGAAGCTCAAGTCTAAACACATCAGAGCTCGGCAGGCCACATGGTTACCTTAATACTCTGGTTCCTCAGACTCTGCTGGCTTTTCCCCTCTGAGCCAGTGGAGTCTTCTTATAGATTGCCCCTGCTCCTTCTCCACCCCGAACAACATGCAGAAACTGAAAGCCCCCAAGTTTCTCTTAGCCATGCAGTTGACTAAAAACCCAACTTTCAGACTCTAAAGAAGAGGGGAAAACCCGTAAGTATAAAGCTAAGACACATATGTGCATGTTTGGCAGAAATAAGAAAAATCATCCTATCTATGAAGCTGTTCTGAAACTAAGTGGGTGCATAGTGTTTTGCAAATTGGGAAGGTCTGTTTGTCTTCAGAATAGAGGTGGCTGATGAGAGTGATACTGAGTAACTTGATAAGTTGTTGGTCTAGAGACTTTTTCCATAGTTGAAATGTGAATGAGGACATTGAAGGACTGGCGTTTACCTAGGTACTGACACAGAATACAAGCTGTCATAATTATTTGTAAAATCAGCCAATCTACAGGAATCTGACTTAAAAAAAAATCACTCATCAAAAGCCAACATTGTAATATAGGAGCTAAATGAAACCAATAGAAAAGGAGCATTTCCATTGAACAGCAGATGTACTGGGGAGTCTGGGCTTCACTCCTGGTTCAGGAGTAAGTATGGATTTTGGGGACCCTGGAAAGATCACACTCCAGGAAAATATTGCCTAACCTTCTGGCTAGTGAGTTGCCTGAAAATCCTTTCTAGTTGAGAAAGTCTTAAATTCCTCAATAACAGATAAAGTGTAATAAGCAAAAGCCACTGAAAAGAACAGCAACAACAATAACTAGAGTCCTGGTGCATGAAATTCATGCATGGGTAGGGTCCCTAGGCCTGGCTGGCGATCAGGGCTGATCTGTGGGGTGACTGTGGGGTGATTGGGGGCCCCTGCTGGCACCCGCCTTGGCTGGCCTGGGGCCTGTGGGCTGGGGGAAACTCCTGCATTGAATGTCTGCCCCCTGGTGGTCTGTGCGCATCATAGCGACCGGTCATTCCACCGTTCGGTCGATTTGCATATTAGGCTTTTATTATATAGGATGCTCCTTCCCTGAGTGATACACGCTTTACTTATATTCATCCTCAGGACTGTACATGAGTGAACTCCTTTTATCCCTTTGGTAGGCAGTCCCCAAGACAGCCCCTCCATGACCCTTGCTTCTCTGCATAGTCATGCCCATAGTCATAGAGGTGCCCTCCACTTGAAGCTGGGCTTGCCCTGTGACTCATATGTAACTATTAGGATGCGGCAGAAGTGACACTGTGTCATTTCCAAGGCTAGATCAGGAGGAGCCTTCCAGCTTCTCTCTTGGTTTCTTGAACGGTCATTCTGGGGAAAGCTAATTGTCATATAAAAGAAATATCACTCACCCTGGCTGGTTTGGCTCAGTGGATAGAGCGTCAGCCTGCGGACTGAAGGGTCCCTGGTTTGATTCCAGTCAAGAGCACAAGCCTGGGTTGCAGGCTGGATCCCTAGTAGGGGACATGCGAGTGAGGAAGCTGTCTTGGACGTCCAGCTCAATGTAGCTTTTGGGTGATTCCACCCTAACCAACCTCTTACCACAACTGCATAGGAGGCGCTAAGTGAAAATTGTCCAGCTGAGCCTAGTCAACCCACAGAACCATTAGAAATAGCAAAGAATTGATGTTTTAAGCCACTAAGTCATGAAGTGTCTTGTTGCACAGCAATGACTACTGAAACAATCCCACATGGACTCGGCAAGGTTTTGAAGATAGCAGTTAACTCTCCAATATCCATTACACTTGCGATTTAGGGAACTGACCTTAGTCCAGAGGCACCCCCGATTAGTCTATGCCAGCAGTTTTCAAAGTGTGGTCCAGCAGCAGCAGTGTCCTCTCAGAACTTGTTAGGAAGGCAAATTCTCAGGCTCTTCCCTGGACTCAGCAGATCAGAAACTCTGGGGCTGAGGCCCAAGCATCTGTGGATTAATAAGTCCTTCAAGTCATTCTGATGCATGCCCACGTTTGAGAACCACTGGTCTATGTACCAATCACGTCATCCTGTCCCTACTTTGCTAGTAATTGGTTTAGGAACCCAGGCCTAGGCCAATCAGCACACAGCATCCCCTGATGTGTTATTAGTTTGTGGTGGAGGGAGTGGCTCTCTCTGTACTGCTGGCAGCCACTCTGACTTTGGAAGGAGCCTGAAGATGCAGCTGACACTGAGGATGGAAGGCAGAGTTGCAGAAAGAACTTGTGTTCCTGACACCAGGGTTCAATCAGTCTGTCCCACCTTTGAACTTCTGATTACGTGGGTCAATAAGTTTCCTTAATGGTTAAACCCCTTGCGTTGGCTTTTTGGTTACTTGCAGCTGACAGCACACTACCAGGTGGGGTAGCGTTATTACCTGTATTTGACATAGGAGAGGGGTGGTCATGCACAGATTCAGAAAACTTGGCAGCAGCAGAGCAAGAATTGGAACCCAGGTCTCTGTTGTCAAAGCCCGCCTTCAAAATACAGCCATAAAACGGTGAGGTGCGCCCCTGTCCTGAGAGCGGAGGGTTTTGTATGTATTTTTGGCGGGTTAGGGTACTGAGACTACAGGAAGGCGGTGGGCATTGGACAGAGGAAGGATACCATGGAATGAGGAAAAGGTTCAGAGAGAAGAGGGAGGATTCACACAAGACAGATAATTGCTGCTGAATTCTATTCAGGGCTGGTCTATGCTCTGGTATTTCTCATGTCCTTAAATTGAATGATGTCCTTTCTCCTCTCTTTCCCCCCAAACAGATGGACATATGATGTTGTTTTGCAAGAACAACACTGGACGAGTGTAAAGCTAGTGTTCCTTTGAGGAGCAGGCTTCTTAGTCCAAGTAGTTCTATAAACTGCATCCACCCACACCAACTCCAAAGACACTCTGTAATTACAAAAGGAATAGTCTGGAAGATTCCACTTGTCAAGCAGCTAAAATGTAGCAGCAGCAGACCTTGCACAAGACACAGATGCACAGCGTGAATTCAGGATTTTTCTAACCCTGGGGATCCCTAGGCTCTAGAGCCCCTCAGTGGATGCCGACATTTGAGGGGGCTCTTGTCTCTGTCCCTCCGCACCACTGTCACCATGGCAGGTCTGTTTCATCCTCTCCCACCACAATCCTGCCTCCTCTGTTCCCCCTCCCAGCGTGATGTGGCTAATTTTAACCTGTAGTCTGAAGCCCAGTGCAGGGCAGTCCCAAGGTGGCTCTGGCTAAAGGACACTCTCAGGGAAAACATGAAACAAGGCTTCAAACAAGGTGATAACTCTTCTCTCCAACACTCACCCGGAGTTTAAATTAAGGGCAGGTTACCCCCTACCACAATTCTGACGAAGGACTTTCTCCTATTTGGAACAGACTGCTCTGGGAAACTGATAAGCATTTATCAAAGTCTTTGCTGTGTGCAGAACACTATTTAAGCCCTGGGAAAGGACACCGGTTAGGGGACAATCCTCCCAACAATGCTTAGAAACAACTATAAAACAAGTCAATAAGTAGACAATGACACACAACAATAAGATGAGCTAACACAAGATTGTTTCTGGGTACTGGGTGTTTACACTAACTTAATCCTCATATTGACGTAGGTATTGTTTTCATCCCCAATTTACTGATGAGGAAACGGAGGCACTGAGAGGTTAAGTCATTTGCCCAAGGTCACACAGGATTCCAACCAAGGCAGCCTGGCTCTGGGGGTCATGCTCCTAACCAGCCACAGCATACTAACAGGGAGGGACACAGAGAAGAATGGGGTTGATAGCTTGCTGGGGGAGTTAAGTTTTAATTTTTAATCCTCACCCAAGGATATGTGTGTGTGTGTGTGTGTGTTTGATTTTAGAGAGAGGAAAGAACAGGGGAGAGAGAGAAAAACATCGATGTGAGAGAAACATCCTGCACGAGAGCTGACCAGGTTGAACCCATAACCTGGGTATGTGTCCTGACCTGGATTCAAACCTGTGACCTTTTGGGTTTACGGGAGGACGCTCCAAACAAATGAGCCACACCAGCCAGGGCAGGAATTCTTTTGATAAATTATGAGGAGTCAGGGCAATGTTGGAGGTGAATGAGAATGAGTTAGATTAACTAATTATATTATTTTTAATGACTGCAATAAGTATTCTTTAATGGGAGGGCTTTTCCATAAATGCTTAAATTTTATCATTCCACTAGAGCAGTGGTTCTTAACCTTCTGGCCCTTTAAATACAGTTCCTTATGTTGTGACCCAACCATAAAATTATTTTCGTTTCTACTTCATAACTGTAATGTTGCTACTGTTATGAATCATAATGTAAATATCTGATATGCAGGATGGTCTTAGGCGACCCCTGTGAAAGGGTCGTTTGACTGCCAAAGGGGTCGCGACCCACAGGTTGAGAACCGCTGCACTAGTGGCTCAGTGCACGAAATTCGGGCACTAGAGGCTCAGTGCATGAAATTCGGGTCCCTAGCGGCTGCCGGCTGCTGGTCACAGCCTCCCTTCCCTGGGTGCCGGCTGCTGGTTGGGGCCTTCCTTTGTTCCACGCCTCCCCCTGGTGGTCAGCACACATCATAGTGAGCTATCAAACTCCTGGTCAGTCAAACTCCTGAGGGGACACTTTGCATATTAGGCTTTTATATATATAGGTAAGTACTGGCTATTGGGGCCCTGTTTGCTCTGAGTTCCAAGATTGAAATGCTTTAGAATGAGAGTTGTGGGTCTGGAAAGAATGATAAAATCACCTGGCTCACCTCCTTATGCTATAGACAAGGAAACCTATGCTCAAAGAGATTCTGTGGTGCCCAGACCAGCACACCCCAGACTCCTGATTGTCAGTCGGGCCTTTCCTCCCCCACCACCCCTTATGTGACCTCCTGAATGCAGCAGCCTGAGTTGGACTGGGCCTGGGACGACAGGAGCACAGTTGGACAAGTGTTTCTCAGATGCTATTGCAGGTCTAAGATGGTCACAGTTGGGGAATTCTGAGGCACACCTGGCTTACCTATGTTGGCTGGGTTAGCCCAGAGTTAGGGACATGGAGAGGGACTCAGCGAGGTCCTGTCAGAGGGCTTCTGTGGAGGGGACTGGTCGGGGCTCTCTGGATGGCTAACTTCTGAGCCTTCCTGCCTGTTACAGCGCCCCCTACTGTCCCCACACTGACTCACTTCCTAGAAGAGGTCCTGTGGTCAGGATGGGTGGCTCTGCCTGCCTTGGCTGCCATAAGCACAATACTGGCCACTGTGTTAGATTAAAAAAAAAAGAAAGGTTTCCTTTTTTTGCTAACCTATATTACTTTTAATGACTGCAATGAGCCTTCTTTAATGGGAGGCCTTTTTCATAAGAGAGAGAGAAACATCAATGAGAGAGAAACATAATCGATCGGCTGCCTCCTGCACACACCCCCTCCACCCCCGGGGGATCAAGTCCATAATCTGGGCATGTGCCCTAACCAGGAATTGAAACAGTGACCTCTTGGTTCCTGGGTCAATGCTCAACTGCTGAGCCACACCGGCTGGGCTCAACATCAATCTTTCTATATAAAGACTTCCAAATAAATATGAACATTCACAATCATCTGAAATTTATATGAGGGCTGGTGGGGTCCAGCACTTGAGAGCTCATGCTGATTTCCTGTGGGCTATCTTATTCCCCCAATACCTACTATTATCTATACCCTAGGTCTAGGAGTTCAAAGGGTTATGTACTTTTGCTAAGATCCTACATCTTTCCCTGGAAATGTGTCTGTCTGGTTACTCTGGAGTGGTTGCTAAGGAGCATACTAAGGGAAATTTAGTTGTTTGGTGGTAATATAAGCCATACTATTAGTAACCACTACTAAGTGAATTTAGTTATGGCGCATGGACTGCATTATGTTTGCTATGCATGTATGGTTTTACAGTTTACAAAACATTTTCAGGTATTTGACCTCATTCAATCCTTACCAAGTGCTATGAGTTGGGTAGGGCTTCTATTCCTTGGAGTCAGAATGCTTGGGTTTGAATCTGGAGTCACCACTTAGCAGTTGGGTGCCTTTGGGCAAGTTATTTCAACTTTCTCTGCCTTGATTTCCTCTAAAAACAGATGTCATTATAGTACTTAATTCATAGGAATGCAGTGAAGATTCAATGAGTGGGTAAAAACTTTAGGATTGTCCTGGAATACAGCAAACAAATGCACTATACCCATGGTCAGCAAACTGCGGCTAGCGAGCCACAGGCAGCTCTTTGGCCCTTTGAATGTGGCTCTTCCTAATCCTTAGGAGTTCCCTAATTAAGTTAATAACAGTGTACCTACCTATATAGTTTAAGTTTAAAAAATTTGGCTCTCAAAAGAAATTTCAATCATTGTACTGTTGATATTTGGCTCTGTTGACTAATGAGTTTGCCGACCACTGCACTATACTATTCCCATTATCATTGCTGTTGTTATGCTTTTAGAAATGGGAGAACTAAGGCTAGGCAAGGTTAAAGGTTTAACATGGCAAGGCTGGGGAGCTGAATTCATCATATTAGTGGTTGTGAAATTATCTGCCCCTAAAAACTGGTGGTTAACAACCAGACTAAGATATTGTGCAGCTAAAATAAAATAATCATGGTTTTACTAACTGACAGAAAGCTGTTAATAGACTTTTCTCAATCTTACACTTTGGGGATTGCTACTGCCTCTCTAACAGCACTTGCTGGTGCTCATGACCACGCCACGGCATTCACAGAAATATTAATGGAGAAAACTCAGGACTGACTGACCAAGCCTGGTTCAACAGCTTTTTGTTTTCATGAGCATCTGACCTTGTGATTGAATTGCACACAGGCATCATGAGCACACTTTTTTGTCCTAGGCCACACAAAGAAATCCTATATAATAAAAGGTTAATATGCAAATTGACCCTAACAGCGGAACAACTGGGAACAACCAGTCGCTATGATGTGCACTGACCACCAGGGGTCAGACACTCAATGCAGGAGCTGCCCCCTGGTGGTCAGTACGCTCCCACAGGGGGAGCTTTGCTCAGCCACAAGCTGGGCTGACGGCTGTGAGCGCAGCAGTGGTGGCGGGAGCCTCTCCCACCTCCTCAGCAGCACTAAGAATGTCCAACTAATGGCTGTTAGTCAGACATCCCCCAAGGGCTCCCAGAGGGATGTCTGACTGCCAGCTTAGACCTGATCCCTCGGGGAGTGGGCCTAAACCAGCAGGTGGACATCCCCCAGGGGTCCTGGACTGCAAAGGGCACAGGCCGGGCTGAGGAACCTCCCCTACCCTCCCGCCGAGTGCACAAATTTTCATGCACCGGGCCTCTAGTTGGACATAATCTGTAATTTGCAACATCCCACAAAGAATATATTGCTCAGTAGAGACCACGATGCCATCTAGGTCCACTCCCAAAGAAGCCCAGTCATCCCCTCCAACCTCGAATCCTAACACATATAGACTTACTTTTTATACTTCCTTCAACCCTGTGAATTTCAGATCAAGAATATATGTTCTGGGTTATTTTTAGAGGAGATAGCAAAGAGGAAACCAGGAAGCTGGGAAGAGAAGAGAGATGGAGTGCAGGCGACATGCTTTCGCCATGCAGCTTAAAGTAACTGAAGCAAACATAAACCTGCAGGTGCTGAGGGATCAGGGCCTGTGGGAAGGCTACCCTGCTGCTTTGAAGGGGAGAGAGTGGAACCTGGGGTATGCTGTGGTTTGGCTCAAATAATATGACAAAGCTAAGGATACATAACCCTGTATATTGAGCAGTTTTGAGAAATATTCGAGTGTGTATGTGAATTTGTTAATGAACAACCTTTCCCCCACTCAGTCATGCAAGTTTATTCAGAATAATGGTGGAACCCTGAAAACTGGTTTATAAAACAAAAAAAAGGGATTGAAGATTTGGTTGGAAAGCCAGTAAAAATATTATGCATCACAGACTAAAATTCCCATGTTATTAGAAATAAAGGGAAAGGATATTCTGAACTGTTTCTAGTCACCAAAGGGTGGTCACTCCAAGTTAGTTGTATGGCTCTCTTCAGTGTGCAGCCTGTTTTTTATTTTCATGAACATTGTAACCAACACTGTTGAACGCCAACCAACAACCATTTCTAGCCTCTTTCTTCCTTGACCATATCCTACCAGAAGGGCTGAAGAATTGAAATATTCCCCTTTGCTACCTGTCTTGCTCTAGTGACCTAGTCCTGGCCTGAGACATAAGGGGATTTCTGCGGGAGGGGAACAGCATTCTCCCTGATTAAAAGGAGACATCTGAAAAGAGCTTTTTCCCACCTCTTTTTCTTTGGATGCTGCCATGCGAGGCGTGCTGCCTGGAGCTGTGGTAGCAATATCATGAGTAGGTTGGTGACCAAAGCTGAAGCTGAAAGCTAACAAATAGAGGAAGGTAAAAATGCCAAAGATGAAAAGAGATGGGTTCTTGAAAGCAACAGTGAGCTGCCAACCCAACCCTGAGGATCACCTATTTCTAGACTCAAGTAAGAATTGAAGTCATTAGGCACAAGCACTGTTTGTTTTGTTACTTGCAGTTGAAAGCAGCCAACTGACACAAATGCAATGAAAACATGCACAAGTGCTCGCATGGGTTCAGACTGTCTTGATCTCTGGCTTCCGTCTCTTCCCCACAGTCTTCCCACTGAGGTTTTCATAGATAGCAATTCTTGAGGTTTGAGAGAGACAGTGCCTGTTACAGCATTGGCTTGGGTTGCTGTGAGGTTCATCCAAACCATAAATTACTGTAAAATTAAAGAGAAATGGTAAAAACAAAAAAACAACACACTTCTATGTTAGGCAGACACTGACTTTCATGTTGGAAGGGACAAGACACCACCAAGCAGCTGTCTTTTCTCATGCCAAAGATGAAAAGAGATGGGTTCTTGAAAGCAACAGTGAGCTGCCAACCCAACCCTGAGGATCACCTATTTCTAGACTCAAGTAAGAATTGAAGTCATTAGGCACAAGCACTGTTTGTTTTGTTACTTGCAGTTGAAAGCAGCCAACTGACACAAATGCAATGAAAACATGCACAAGTGCTCGCATGGGTTCAGACTGTCTTGATCTCTGGCTTCCGTCTCTTCCCCACAGTCTTCCCACTGAGGTTTTCATAGATAGCAATTCTTGAGGTTTGAGAGAGACAGTGCCTGTTACAGCATTGGCTTGGGTTGCTGTGAGGTTCATCCAAACCATAAATTACTGTAAAATTAAAGAGAAATGGTAAAAACAAAAAAACAACAACACACTTCTATGTTAGGCAGACACTGACTTTCATGTTGGAAGGGACAAGACACCACCAAGCAGCTGTCTTTTCTCCTGGGAGAATGGGTGTTGTCCAATCTAAATGGCTGAGGAGGGAAGTTTTGAAAAAACCTCTCAAGACAGTAACTTCAGAAATGACACACTACCCCGGAATGGAGTGCAGCTTCCTGGGCTTTAGTATTACACTGACCTGAAACTTCAAAATCATAAGCCACTGATTGGGGTTTACTGAAACAGTATACGCACGGGCGCGTGCACGCGCACACACAGGTTAGTATAAACAGAAAAGTTAGGACCTTGTAAAATGCCCAAGTATTTCAACTTCTTATTCCTCAGTGTTGGCCTAAAAACAGTTATCTGCATATCTGTATGTACAAAACAAGCTTAGTGTTCCCTCTTTAAGGGCACCAAAGCTCAGACCCGTGAGGTTGACAGTGGCTCTATGACCCCTCTCCCGGTTCCCAGTCTGATCTTTGTGTGGAAACTGCAGAGTTAAGGTAGAGATAGCACTGCATGGTGAAGCTCTGCTGTGGAATGCCAGAGGTTGATTCCAGAGAGAATGCAGCTTCTAGACATTTTATTTGGAAAGAAATCAAAGCCCCAAAGCAAAGGAAACATTTTTGAGTTGGTCCGCACACCACAGCTGAGTGGAATCCAGGTGAGAAATGTGGATAGATGACCTTCTAACCACGGCACACCATTTTAAACACAGACTGAGTTTGCAAATCATTTAGTGCCTTTGAGAAACTTAACAGCTCATCCTCGAATCTACTTAATTTGACTCTAATTTTGGTAAAAGAGTTCTGGTTAGAGAAAATGAAATGTATCTAAAATCAATTTCCAGGCTATTTGCCATTTATCTGTCTTGCCAAGGTGTTCCTTTGAGTTCCTCCTGAGGAGACGTTTATTACTGCAAACATCAGCCAGGGCAGGCTGACTGAAGAGCTGATTCTCCAGGGGTGGGACATTTGCTCACAGGTCCTCAGGGAAGAAGCCTGCAAGGAACGGATCCATCTAGGGATCCCTGTGCTGGCTGTTAGTTTGCTTTGGATACTTCCTTCCAGGCTTTTTCAAAGTGGAACTCTAACCGTGAGGTTGTAGGGCACCTGCTGGCTATTTCCGGCTTTCTATACTTGAAGTTGGACTGAGAGAACTGGGCCTGCTTGGAGAAAAGGGAGTGGTAAGAGGTATGGAGAAGTGATGCTGTTTTGGTTTTTTTCTTCCTGAACTTTGATTACATAAGTCAAAAAAGCATTGCCTTTTTGCTCAAGCTGGTTTGATTTAGGTTCTATCATTTGCAACCTGAATCTTCAGCTATTTAAAAAAACTTGTGTACTAGTATATATCCTACTTCCCCTCAAACAAGTCAAGTATTTCCCACAAACATGCTAAAATTGTTTTGAAAAATAAAATTATTTTGTAAATCAAATACTTTCAAATTTGTCTTTTATGCAAATTCAAATTTTTAGATACTAGGTTTTCTTATAATATTTGTGTTATCATATACAATGGGAGGGAATAACAGTTGAAATACAGTGTAGGCAGTTCTAGTGTTCAGATTCAATTTGAACAAACAGAAAAGTGTGTTAGTCACACAGAGAGAATTAAATATTTTATTTTAGATAAAAATGTTATACCCACTCTAATATATCATAAAGGATAACTGAATATTTGCATAAGTAATGAAAGGGTTAAGAAATTATTTGGGTTATAATCAGAGGAACATAATAAACGTAAATCTGTAGAAGGGTATTTTCCAAATAAATTCCAATAAAAGGCTAAACATTCTCAAACATTCTATATACATAAAGAATTATTTCTGATTAACATGTTTTTGCTGTAGTGTCAGAAAAATCACAACAAATTTGGTAAATGTATGTTAAAGTCAGAGTTTTCTATGAGTTCTCTAGTACCACTGTGTATCTGTTCAGAAATGAGGCCAGAATTCTCAGAACATAGCACATTAGGGTAGGGGAAGAGAAACACTAGGGTGAGGGAAGAGGAATGCCTGCTGATGCTGACACGGTTAACTAACAAGTGGCGAGGCTGGAGGCGACCAGAACGAAGTGGGACCATGTCACTGAGTGGGGCTGCGAAGGGAAAAGCAGAGCTGAGCCCAAGACAGTCCAGTCAGGATCACGTTCACAGTGGTTCAGGGTTTTGGTTTTTAATGTGTTCAGAGACAAATCCCAGCAAGACACGTGGTTTTCGTCATCAAGCCTTTCTTCTTGAACTTGTGACTTCTCAACTGAGGCACTTGGCATACTTAAGGGGAAAAATGAATACATTCAGATTTAGTTTTGTCAGGCATTAAGCTAGAAAACCAAAAATTCATGTCTCCTGTAAGAACTGCACACACAAACAGGGTTTGCTTATTAATGGGGCAGGTAAGAGGAAGTGGAGTTCAGCTCTTTGAAAAAGATAAAGGGGGAGGAGACAGTAGGAATGCAGAGGAGCCCTTAGGAATGGAGCAATTAGTACAAGGAAACGGTTTCCATCTGTGAGGTTCTGCTTCAGGCATCTGTACCTTAGGCACCTGTGCTTGAGAGGTATGCTTCAGGAGCTACCTGTGGTTAATTTCCCGAGGGCTAGACACAGATTTTCTGAAGCCTTGCCAGGCATCTGCCCCCTTCCGAGTGTGAATGCTTCATTTCCTAAAGTGATCTGAAGCCTGCCAAGCCAAGCGGGCTTAGGAAGTTGTCACACGGTGTCCCGTCAGGCATGCTTACACTGTTCACAGTATCTGGGCCAGCAGTGGGAAAGGGACACTTGTATTTTTGGCCCATATGCTTTTCAAGTAGAATACACTTGACTAAATAAAGAGAACATCATGCCGAACCCTCCGAACTTCCACATCAGCACGCAATCCCTCCATCAAAAGGAGAGCTCCTTGTTCCCAAGGCGGAGGGGTAAAAGAGGCTGCTCTGTACTGCAAAGGACTGACTCTACAGCAAAATCAACGACCCAAATAAGTGACGGGCTGATGCAGCCCACTATCAGCAGTAGGAATGTCATTTGGACCAGCGGTCACCAATTGGTGGTCCGCAGATCACTGGTGGTCCACGAGGTCCGAGAGGCTGGCGACCGCTGACTTGGACTACTGTCTGTTGGCAGGTGAAAGAAAGTCACCCCACTGAATGTTACCTTAAAAATATTTTATCAGAATATAAGGCCACTTCACTGTTTTCAACCTGTACAAGTTGATGTCTGCTTTGAAACATAATCACATATAACACTTTCTCCCTTGGGTGCTCTTTATTTTGGAGGAGAGTCTGTACTCAAAGCCTTTTCTCTGAGCTCTACCAACCAAAGTTATTAAGTAGTTGCAACTGTGGTCTTAATGGGATGCCATTTCCTTGAGTCTTTACTAATTAAGGCAATTGCTACATGTGCAGCATTTTCTGGGGATCCTTCTCTGAAAGAAGAATATATTGATAAAATATTTTATGAAGCAGTTAAGATCATTTTAAATCTAGTTGAAAAGATTAAGTTGTTATTCACTTAATGCAAAAGTACTCGACTGAATTTCAGACTTATTTGGAATACAGAATCTTTGTGCTACACAAATGTTTTTTTAAAAAAGGCAACGGCTTACACTTTCCGAAGTTTAGAAATGACATCCACAGAACAGGTGACTTTTTTTTTTTTTTTTTTTTTTTTTTACCAGTGTGGTTGGAACAGTGATAGTGGGTATTCATTCTACCAGTCTGATCAGGTGGTCTCAACGTGGTCTCTCCACTGTACCAGATTACGTACATGTCTGCCTGTGGAGGACAGCAAAGGTCCTACCAATGTCATCCGGTCTAAAATGCTCATTTTCCTACCTGCCAGTCATTCCAATAAGATGCTTTTGAAATGGTGCTTTCTCAAAATACCCTTTTATGTAGGAATTTATTTGTCTTAAATATAGAGGTAAGATAGATATGAGAATATCTTTAATAACCAAAGAAATCAACCTAAACTCAGATGATACCCGGCATGAGTTTTCTAATTTTGAAAGCCTACGATCTGAGCTTGTAATGGGCCATTTCTAAAAGTGCATACACTCTCTAAATATCCAGATGCTGCCAGACTGCCTCCCTTGTATAAAAGGCAGAAGACGAGGAGGAAGCAGACCCCATCCCACAAACTGAAGTAGACGTCCATGCTGAGAATCAGCAAGTTTTCCAGGCAGGCACAGTGGAGTATGACCATAGCTCTCCAATCAGGAGGGAGGGGAAGAAGGGCCCAGTGAGAGAGAGGGAGGGAGAGAAACCCACAAGTACAAGAGTCCCCATTACAATTACAACACCTCACCGGGCAACAAGATTTTCTAGCCAGAAGGCACATAAAAATACCCATAACAGTAACTGACTAAGACAATGGCAATTGAAAGAAAAAACCCTCCTTTGGAAGTAAAGTACAGCTGTTTCATTAGGGACGCTGATGCTAAGGTCGGGGCAGGTGAAGTGGATGTGGTGCTCTTGGTTTACTTTCTGTGATTCTTCAGCGCTCAGTAAAGCCACTGTGCCTTTTAAACGGAGACCCCAAGTCCTCTGTGTGACAAAAGATTACAATGGTAGTTACACAAATATTTACTGTTGCTGTGTCCCACAGGTTAGGCCGAGTTCACCAATCCAGCTGAGTGGAGTCTTCCGTGTTTTGTCCACCGCCACTCAGCATTATAAAGTCAACCAAACAAAAAACGAGAAAAGGAGCAATTGTGAAATTCCTGACTTCTTTGCGTTGGTTATAGGTCCATAATTTGCATAAAATAAATAATAGGCTTTAAGTAAAAATCGGTGTTAAAAGTTGAAACGAGGGGTAGGGGAGCACAACAATCTGGTATTCTCAAGGCAAAACAATAGAGATCTCTTTAAATATACACTTTATTATATCCACAGGCGATAAAATCCCAGAGCTACTGTTAGGCATGTAAAAACAGACCCTGTAAGAAAAAATAATTAAGCACAGTATTAGTTATATTAATAGTTACTTGAGAGAACATCTCTTTATTAAGAAAACATATCCACCTATCTAACAAGGGGGAAAACACACACTAAGAAACTTCTTCACTGATGTGCCACATTCCACGAGACACCTGCCCATAAAAAACCCCACACCTTGAAATCATCAACTTCCAAGGACAAATGTATCCAATAATCAAGAGAACTTTCAATAAGAGTTTAGAATCACAAAGTCTGTGGTCACAAAGCACATGTATATGTACTGGAAGGGACACAGCTTTTGTTTTATGAGCAAAATGTCACTTCTTAATACTATTGTACCTTTAAAATATTGATGAACCCAACATACTAAATTTGAGTTAAAATAATGGCTAATTTTTTTGTATATGAAGCTTTATTCCCTGTTTTGGCTCAAAAATTGCAAATAACTCATTATGAGGAAGGTCACCAATAGAAGCAGAAAGATCATAACTTAAAAACTTTTCGTTCTATCCGTCCAATATTCCGTCTTGAATTCCACTTAAAATTTTTTAAGTAACTGTAATTCAATGATAGTATCTTATCAGATTTAAGATTCCATTGACTGTAAAGTACATCATTTTATTTACTTCTAAGAAAAAATTGCCAACATGATACTGTCTATCGGAAATGTAAGAAGCTTGCCAAATTCAAAGATATTAAAATATGAAAAAATGTGTTAGAATCAATGAAATGCAATATCTATCCAAGTTATTTTATAAAATTTATTTATTTTATTGTCAGCTTGTTTCAATTACCTAGATATAAAACAGCTTACCTGCTAAATATTTAATATTATCAAGCTTGTGCGACTCGAGCATGGTTTTGAGGCCAGCAACCTCAGTGTCTATCTTCCTGTCTGTCTGGGTGACGGCCCGATCTTGCTGGGCATGCTTTTAAAACAAAGAGATTCGCAGCATTACACCACTTGGGATATACTGTCCCCTCTGCTGTCAGTCCTGAGATCCTGCCCACCAAGGTGCAGTCAAGGGGAACTGGGGTAAGATTAACGAGACTTAGGCTTTAGTCTTAGTTCTACTATCCTCATGCTATGTTGCGTTGGTCAGAGCCTTTAATATACTTAGGCCTGTTTCTTTCTGTTTGAAAAAAGGAAAAAAAAATACCATTAGTCCTGCCTCCATACAGGCTATTTAGAGAATCCAGTGTGATAATCTACGTAAAATTGCTCTGCAAGTAATGTTAACATTATGAAGCCAGTCTGTTCTTAATGGCAATAAATATGTTCCACCCTTCTAAGTTCGCCTTAATGAAAAGCATACAAAAATGCTTTAAAAAATGAAAAGAATCTTGGATAATTTAAAAGGAACAGTGCTTGCCTTGACACTGTTTCTATTCACATTTTTTAAAGTTTTCTTCTTTTATAGTTCAAACACCAAGTGTTTTATTATTATTATGAGGCTTGGCTATACCAAAGGCCTATTTGTGTTTTTCTCAAATATAACAGTCAAACTAGATACATAATTACCCCCAAAGGATGGTGAGTTTGGCTGATGTTATAAAGGGGTTGTCATACTTCACTAATGCATCAAAGCACTAGAAATGCTTCACTAAAAATTCTAGGGCAGGTAAGTAGTTCCCTATGGCTAACAATTCAGGTAACAAATAAAAAAACAAGAGCCTGGATGAACAGAAAAGTATTCCAGAGGAATATTCCAATATTCTCTCATGGAAATCTCCTGTGGGTTTCAGAGGTTCCAAGTAATATAGAATGGAAAAGAAGTAATTGCATGCCATAAATTAAAAATATAATTTAAAAAGTCTATTCCTTATTATTCTTAAATCACTGAGGTTTAAACTTTTATTATGATAATCAAGTAGTTGGTTCAGTGCAAAAAAATCCTATGATACTCCACTTCCAGGTATATGCTAAAAAAAAAAAAATTGAAAACAGGGACCCCAACAGATATTTGTATCCCCATGTTCATAGCGGCATTATTCACAACAGCCACCAGATGAAGCAACCCAACTGTCCAGAGACAGAATAATCAAATGTGGTGTATCCATCTAATTATTGTTCAACTATATAAAGGACATTTTGACACATGCTACAATATGGATGAAGCTAGAGGACACTATGCTAAATGAAAATAAGCCAGTCACAAAAGGACAAATACTGTATAATCTCACTTATATGAGTAAATAGACAGAAAATAGATAGAGGTAGTCAGGGGCTGGGGGGGGGGGCAGTTATTGTTTAATGGGAGAATTTCAGTTTTTCAACATGAAAAGAGTTCTGTATATGGATGGTCGTAATGGTTGCATAATAATGTGAATGAACTTAATGACATACACCTAAAAATGATTAAAATGGTACTGTTTATGTGTATTTTACAACAATTTAAAAAATTCTATGACATTAAACCTGCACATATTTTCCTATAACACATCACTACAAATAGCAGTAACAACGCACAGAATGAAGCAGAGATGAATAAAATGACCAAGAAAAATCGGTCTCAATTCTTACCAATGCCACCATTTCTGTCCTCATTTCCAGCAGCTTCCTTTCGTTTAATGAATACTGAAACAAACATGTCACATAGGTCAGATTCTGATTCCTTTCTCTCTCCTCTCCTCCTCCACTAGTATCTCAAATATTCTGGTCTCACTACTTCCAAGAATATGTAACACTAGAAACTGCCTCCAGGATAAAGGAGCCTACGTGACCCTTTCCTTCAGATCTATATTTTTTGAGGTTTCTTATTTATATTCACTCCTCACTCCAGTATCTGGACTCCCTTTTGTCAGCCTTCACCTTTCTCTCTCTGTTTTTTTCTTTTCATTTCTTAGCTGTGATGTCTCTAGGTCCCACTCTCATACCAACCGGCACTCTAGGGACCAATTTAGATGGATGCGGAGTCATACGTGTTTTGGCTTTGACAAGACAGAGTTGAAAAAGTGGGGAATAATTCCAATAAAAATTGCCCCTGGGACTACAACAACATTACTTGTAAATTAAAAAAGAAGAACAACAAGGAAGAAGAAAGAAGATGAAGAGGAAAAAGCCCCAAACCCCAAACTAAGGACTAGTCATAGTACCAACAAATGCTCATCTCCATCTTTAAATGCCAGGGCTTCAGACCAGGAGAGAGCTATCCATCTGATCCCCATCAGAAGGCAGGGGGAACTGGATTTTCTTCACACCTTTAAATTCTGGCCTTCAGTAAGTCAATATTGATTCAGCCACAAGAGAAAAGAAAAGCTTACATATCTTGATATTGCCATGATTTTTAAAATAAGTCTTATCTTCTTGTATCCCAAAACAGTTTACTTGCCACATAGTACGTTTGAAACTGGCTGTAAATATCACCCCAGTTAATGTAATTGGCACAATATTACAACTTTATTAAGCAAGGGAATGAGAGGGTCAAATAACCCATTTTCATCAAAGCATGTTAAATGCATACTAGCTGCATAATATTATGTTACTGTCCTGCACTTCAGAGTAATCTAAGTTTAGGATTGCCAAAAACAACTTCTCAGCTAGATCAGTAAATCATATAAACTCACAGGCTTTAATCCAGGCTCACATCCCATATTTCCCAATCTTCTAGGTATATTTCTTCCCAGCTTGGTTAACAACAGGCATCTTCTTAAATCAAGTGAATTCAGCCCTGGCCGGGTAGATCAGTTGGTTAGAGCACTGTCCCATATGCCAAGGTTGCGTGTTTGATCCCCAGTCAGGGCATTTACAAGAATCAATCAATGTATGCATAAATAAGTGGAACAACAAATCTATGTTTCTCCCCCCTCCACCCTTTCTCTCTAAAATAAACAAAATTTTTAACAAAGTGAATTCAGAAAATTTGTTAAGTACACAAACCATAAGGACAAAGGTAACCAAAAGAGTCTCTCCTCTTCCAGATATAGTCATATGCTAGTGATCACTACGTATTTTAGTGATACTAAGTGATTTAATCTTCATGGTTGAAAAACGTTTTAAGACTAGAAAGACTGGTAACATGAACAGAATAATAATTATTTGGTATAATAAAGTTTAGCTTAACTACTGAATCCATATCCAGTTCCAAAATATAGTGAAATACTTGTTTGTGTTTCAATGTTAGTTTCATTTATCAGCGTAGCATATTTTAGTTGAAAGCAAATTGTGAAAAATGAGAATACAATGAACAAATTTTGAGAACTCAGTTTCTGCATGTGTATCCAATTCTATGTTAGTGAAAAGTGCTTTATATGCCCTTACTCATTATGCTAAGAATAAAAAAGATATCTCCTGAATGTTATTAAATCCAAATAAAGACTGAATAAGAAGATAGATGGGTTAAAAATCAGAGGCAAGCCAACACATAAAGATTAAAATATACAATTTATTGCCCCCATGTTCATAGAAGCATTTACAATACCAAGGTATGGAAGCAACCTAAGAGCCCATTGATGGGTGAATGGATAAAGAAAATTTGAGGTATATAGTATATATCTCAAATGAAATATTATTCTGTCATAAAAAAGAAGAACATATTGCCATTGCAACAACATGGATGAACCTTGGGAGCATTATGCTAAGTGAACTAAGTCAGACAGAGAGACAAATACTGTATAATCTCACTTACATGTGGAATCTGAAAAAAACAAGAAACCTCAGGAGCTCACAGATACTGAGAACAGATTAATGGTGGCCAGAGGCAAGGGATGGAGGGTGAGCAAAATGGGTGAAGTGAGTCAAAAGGTACAAATTTGCAGTTAAAAAATGAATCCTGGGGATGTAATGTACCACATGGCAACTGGAGTTAATAATACTGTACTGTATATTAGAAAGTTGCTATGAAAGTAAATCTGAAAAGTTCTTATAACAAGAAAAAATTTCTTTACGTAATATGGTGATGGATATTAACTAGACTTACTGTGTTGATCATTTTGCAATATATACAAATATCAAATCATTATGTTGTACACCTGAAACTAATACATGTCAATTACACCTCAGTTAAAAAAAAGATTACTGCAAAAGCTCTGAGGGAAAAAAATATCGTATTTATATGCATTATCTTTGACAAAGCAAGGGCAACAGAGCTGTATTTCCAGTTTTCTTAGTTTATCTTTTTGGTAACAAATGTGCAGCACTAACTTTCCTAATTAGAAGTTTCAATTTAACATAACTTACTCATTTAGAATTTGCATTTCAAAATAATAAAGTCATTGCAATTTCTCTATTAAAGAAAAAGACAAGAAGGAAATATTTTTTAAATCTTGAATTATGGTATAAAATTTAATATTATTTACTATCAAGTCAGGATTGAGTTTAATTTCTTTATTAATATCTAAGTGATAATTTAGTATCTTTGAAACAAAAAAGGATTCAAACTTATTTGACCAATATTTTAATTTTAAAGTTTTTGTTGTTGTTTTATTTTTTAGAGGAAGGAAGAAAGAGAGCGAGAGAGAGCAAGAGCGAGAGCGAGAGAGAGAGAGAGAGAGAGAGAGAGAGAGAGAGAAACATTGATTGGTTGCCTCTCATACGCTCCCTGACCAGGGATCAAACCTGCAACCTGGGTATGTGCCCTGACCAGGAGTCAAATCACCATCTCTTCTGTGTATGGGACGATGCTCCAACCAACTGAGTGAGCCACATTGGCCAGGGCAACATTTTAATTTTAATGTTACTTATGAAAGCATCAAATTTAAGCCCTAATCCAAAATATAATTAAAATAAAGGAAAAACTGTGTCTTAATAATGACATGTAGGTAAATATTTAATAGTACTTGTGAACTGTGTATAAACTTAGACTTGACCAAGCGTTCCATCCTGCAAAAAATTTAATTCATACTCTATTTTTAATAAAGAAACATACCAATTCTTTTACTCTGCTCTTTTCTAGATTGAAGTCTAATTTGGAGTCTGTGCGGACCTTGACCACTTCATCCTAGTAGGAGGGCAAACAACAAAGAAAGAAAGAAATCCAAAGTAAGAAATTAAAACCCACCGAGTGTGTGAAGCCTGTGGAAGCTGCCTCCACTCTTCTAGGTAAAGCGTCAGCCCAGGTGCTCACAGAGCTGGGGACCAGTGATTGGGGAGACTCTGGCCAATCCACATCTGGAGTCAGCCCTGCTTTGGGACTTTCCAGTTATAAACAGAAATAATTCCCTTTTATGCTTAAATGAGCCCAGCGTGGGTCACTGTTGGCTTTTTATCTCAAAGTTCCCAAGATAATAGCCTGTGGAATTTATGATTAAAGCTGTTTCTTGGACAACTTTGGAAAGCAGAGATGGATTCAAAGAAGTAAAATATTACATTCTTATTTAAATACAGCCTTCTTTCTGACACTCATCAAAATCTTTTCTTCTTTCACATCAATGTCCTTGCCATTTAAAAAAATCAAACTGGCACAGTGCTAATCATTTTGAAATCACATGTAATTCTCTAAAGACATGTGAGAACCCTTCAAAGAGAATATAAGGGTTCCACTTGGCTACTTTAGAGAATTTCTTATTTAAAAATGACTTAATTCCTTCTAGAACACAATTTTCTTAATCAATTTGGTTACACACATCAGTAATTTAGTCATTGGCTGTGTTTTTAGCTAAATCTTTCCATGTGTACCTTTGAGGCATATTACACAGACATTTAAGACAGAATTAAGTTTTTAAGAACATATGAAGTATTGCTAACATTATATTTATTGTTAAGCTTAGGTAATTATAAACAAGCAAGCAAATAGGAATGAGGATCTTACCATTATTTGTTGTTTTAACTGATGTAGTTCAAGTTTTATTTTCTAAAAACACATTAAAAAGAAACAAGTCAAAAATGTGTAGAAGGTTAGAAGAAAAAGAAAACTTGGTAACAAACTAATATTAGAACATGTAGTTATGCACAAGGTCTTCCTTCATTCAATGCGAAGTTGCTACATTCAGAATACAACCTTAGCTGAATAGTCTCCATAGGAGAAGCGATTACTTGTCATGCCAGGATGGTGCAATTTTTTTTTAACTAAATGCCCTCAAACAGCTGACTTAAAGGTTAATTCTGAGAGTTTCAGACTATCTTTTTCTTGCAAAAGAAAGCATCTTTGCTAGAAGGTTTCTTGCAAGACTAAGACTAACAAACAGGTAGTATATGAGCTTTCTTTATGGGATTCTGATAGGACTAACAACACAAGGAAGATGCAAAGACAGCATTTATTTAAACGCTGATCCCATGTAACACTTTAAGAAACTAAGGGCTATTTTATAGCTGCATTTATTCATAATAACCAAACACTGGAAACAATTCTAATATGCATCATAGAATAATGTGGCATATTCATATGATACCACAGACAATGAAAAAGAATGACCTACTGCTGCAAGACACACTGAAGATCTCATCACTTCTAGTTCTAGTATGGGCAAACTAGTCAATGGTGACAGAATCCAAGACAGTGGCCACCTCTGGGGTGTGGTAGTATTCTACTCGGGTACTGCATACTTTGTGATGATTCATCAAGATGTACTCTTACTTGTGCACTTCCGTTTATGTACATTATATCTCAATGTCTGAATATGAAGCATTTTATAAGAATAAATGGCTGCTTAGTTTTACCTCATTTTCTGCTCTGAGGGCTGAAAATTCACTCTTCTCCAAAATAATCATATCTTTTTTCACGTTAGAAATCTGAGACATTATTTGCTGAAGAGTGATCTCCTAGGAAAAGGAAAGCAAAACAGATAACCTAGTGTAGTCTAGGAAATCCACCTCCTATGGTCTCTACCTGGTATCATCTTAATGAGAAACTAGAAGAATGGGGACACAAGAAAAGAGGTTTCTCTCTTCCAAAATGAGAAAAGGAAAAGAATAAAAACTCAAGTACAGTATCATCATCAAGTGGATGACAGTTAAAAGGGTGGCAGTCTGAAGACCACTGGCTCAAAAACACACTGCTATAATTCTGGCCACACCTCCATTTATTAAAGTACTAGAGGCCCGGTGCATGAAATTCGTGCACTCACGGGGAGGTCCCTCAGGTTGGCCTGTGCCCTCTTGCAGTCCGGGAGGCCTTGGGGGATGTCCAACTGACGGCTTAGGCCTGTTCCCTGCGTGAGCCTGGCTTCTGGCTAAGCGGTGCTCCCCCTGTGGGAGCACACTGACCACCAGGGGGCAGCTCCTGCATTGAGCATTGCCCCCTGGTGCTCAGTGTGCGTCATAGCAACCGGTCATTCCGCTGTTGGGCTGAAACTGGCTCTCCAACATCCCCCAAGGGGTCCTGGATTACGAGAGGGCACAGGCCAGGTTGAGGGACCCCACCAGTGCACGATTGGGGCTGGGGAGGGATGCAGGAGGTTGGCCAGCCAGGGAGGGACCGTGGGAGGGCTCCAGGGCATGTCCAGCTGTCTCGCTGTCCTGATCGGCCGGACCCAAGCAGCAAGCTAACCTACCGGTCGGAGCGTCTCCCCCTGGTGGTCAGTGCACGTCATAGCGAGTGGTTGAACAGCTTTAGCATATCATTAGCATATCATGCTTTGATTGGATGAATGGACGACCGGACACTTAGCATATTAGGCTTTTATTATATAGGATGGTGGACTGAAAGTTTTCAAGCAGAGAGACTTTTCAAGTATAGTGAATTTCTAGCATAATAATTTGATTCTACAAGAGTTTACTAAATAGCTTTGAGCAAATACTTTTTATGCCACTGCAATAATTAGCCTCTCAACTATGATAAAAATTAACTACATGCTTTTCAATAGGACATTATCCAAAAATATATATTACAAGTGACATCTTCCCTTTAGATTTCAAATTTGCAAAGGTGCCCTGACAAAGCTAACCTGTTGCATCTTGGTGACCATGTCTTTGTAGACGATATCCATGTTGGCCTCCGTGATCTTCACCAATGCAGATACAATGATTTCTGCTTGTTGAGTAGTAAACCCTAAGCAAACACACAAAGACAATCACACTCAGGAGACTCTAGTTGTAAAAGAAAAGCCTTCGTAGAAGGGGAGACAACACAAAGTTACACATGGAGCAAATGTCTGAATTTGAGAAGCAGGTGGAAAGCAGATGAGGAGACTACAGTCACAGGCTATTATGTGTCTGTCATCTGGACAAGTATGACACGTCTGAGTGTTTCCTCATGTGAAATGAGCAGCTGGGCTAACTGCTCTCTAACGTCCTTCTGCACTGTCAAAAACCCTGTTTTCATAAGATGTCTAATAACATAGGGGATGCCTGTCATGCAAGGTCAAGTGAAAAAAAGCAAGACTCAATATTATAGATACAATTTATCACTTTTGTGATTTAACAAAGATTCTAGATAATTTTGATTTTCTTCAATGGATGTGACCTCCTTAATTTTAAAATGTATATATTTAGCAAAAATAATTTACTTACGTAGAAAAACTCATTTGTTTTATATCTAGCATAAATCAAATTATTGACTATGGAAATTATAATTTTGCTGTTAATTTAATGTTCAAAGATAATGTTAAAATCAATTCTTTCGTTTTTCCTTCACAATTCTCTTCAGTCACTAGTGATAGGGGCCCACACTGGAAAAAATATATATACTTTTATACTCAACAAATGATGCTAAATTGAGTTATATAAAGATTCAACTCAGCAGTATTACTGTTTTTAATAACTTTAGATAGTAATTTATATTTCACGTTGGAAATGCTAATAAAATGTTTAAAACCAAGTCCCTGGAAAGTAATTTTTTCTATTAAATATGTCCATCTATAAGAATTTCAGAAGAATCTATTGATTCTTTTTTTTTTAATCCTCACCCAAGGATATTTTTCCATTGATTTTAGATAGAGTGCAAGAGAGAGAAAAAGGCAGAAATATCGATGTGAGAGAAATACATCGATTGGTTGCCACCTGCATGCACCCGACTAGGGCCTGGACCGGGGAGGAGCCTGCAAACGAGGTATATGCCCTTGCCAGGAATCGAACCTGGACCCCTTTGGTCTGCAGGCTGACGCTCTATCCACTGAGCCAAATGGGCTAGGGCAGTGGTTGGCAAACTGCGGCTTGCGAGCCACATGCGGCTCTTTGGCCCCTTGAGTGTGGCTCTTCCTAAGCCTTAGGACAGTGATGGCGAACCTATGACACGCGTGTCAGAGGTGACACGCAAACTCATTTTTTTGTTTGATTTTTCTTTGTTAAATGGCATTTAAATATATAAAATAAATATCAAAAATATACATTCTAAGCCAGTGATGGCGAACCTATGACACGCGTGTCAGAGGTGACACGCGAACTCATTTTTTTTGGTTGATTTTTCTTTGTTAAATGGCATTTAAATATATAAAATAAATATCAAAAATATAAGTCTTTGTTTTACTATGGTTGCAAATATCAAAAAATTTCTATATGTGACACGGCACCAGAGTTAAGTTAGGGTTTTTCAAAATGCTGACACGCCGAGCTCAAAAGGTTCGCCATCACTGCCTTAGGAGTACCCTAATTAAGTTAATAACAATGTACTTACCTATATAGTTTAAGTTTAAAAAATTTGGCTCTCAAGAGAAATTTCAATCGTTGTACTGTTGATATTTGGCTCTGTTGACTAATGAGTTTGCCGACCACTGGGCTAGGGCTCTATTGATTCTTATAATTAATTAATTAATGGCACATTTGTTTGAATAAAGTTATAGCTGATATAATATGGATGAGATTAAGCATGAGACTATAATAAAAAAAACAAGGCACAAACCAGCTGGTGTGTGCCTCAGTGGATGAGCGTTGACCTATGAACCAAGAGGTCACAGTTTGATTCCATCAGAGCACATACCAGGGTTGAGTGCTCAATGCCCAGGAGGGGGTGTGCAGGAGGCAGCTGATCAATGATTGTCTCTCATCATTGATATTTCTATTTCTCTCTCCTCCTTCCTTCCTCTCTAAAATAAGTAAAAAATCTATTTTATGTATTTATCTTTAATCCAATTAAAAAATGGGCAAAGGACCTAAATTGACACTTCTCCAAAGAAGACATACATATGGTCAAGAGACATATGAAAAAAATGCTCAAAGTAACTGATCATCAGAGAGATGCAAATTAAAACGACAATGAGGTGTCATCTCACACCTGTCAGAATGGCTACCATCAACAAATCAACAAATGAGAAGTGCTGGTGAGGATGTGGAGAAAAAGGAACCCTTGTGCACTGCTGGTGGGAATGCAGACTGGTGCAGCCACGGTGGAAAACAGTATGGAGTTTCCTCAAAAAATTAAAAATGGAATTCCCACTTGACCCAGTAATCCCACTTCTAGGAATATATCCCAAGAAATCAGAAACACCAGTCAGAAAGAATATACGCACCCCTATGTTCACAGAAGTACAATTTATAATAGCGAAGATTTGGAGACAGCCTAAGTACCCATCAGCAGATGAGTGGATTAAAAACTATGGTACATTTATACCATGGAATATTATGCTGCTGTAAAAAAGAACTCTTACTATTTGCAACAGCATGAAGGGTCAGTATCATGCTAAGTGAAATAAGTCAGTCAGAAAAAGACAAGTATCACGTGATCTCACTCATATGTGGAATCTAAGTAACAAAATATACTGATGAACAGAGTAGATCCAGAGACATGGAAGCATGGAACCGAGTGCAGAATCTCAGAGGGAAGGAGGGGGAGGGTGGGTGGGAGGTAATCAATCAAAGACCTTTTATGAATATATGCGTAACCCCTGGCCACATTGACAACAGGGTGCTGAAGGCCTGGAGTGGGGTGTCAGGGGGCGGGCTGAAGGAGGTCAATGGGGGAAAGAGAGGGACATATGTAATACTTTCAACAACACAGATTTTTAAAAATAATGTTGATGGGAAAAAAATTAAAAAGCGGACACACTTAAAATAAAAAATATATATATTTAAAAAAAGAGAAAAAAAGAACAAGGCACAGACTTAAAGGCGACAAAAAAGACCTTCAAAGATTTACTCCCAGCCCTGGCTGGTGTGGCTCAGTTAGGGCATCACCCCATACACTAAAAGGTGACAAGTTCGATTCCCAGTCAGGGCACATACCGAGGTTACTGGTTGGGGCATGTGCGTGCGGGAGGCAACCAATAGGTGTTTCTCCCTCTCCCTTCCTCTAAAATCAATAAAGTTCTAAAAAACAATTTAAGAAAAGAAGATCTTCTCCCTTTATTTCATTCAAAATCCTTTAGTTTTTTTTCAACGTGTAGGTCATGCACATCTGGAAAAATAACCCAAAATGTTGACCCACCAAAGTGTTAACATTGGGATTCAGAATAGCTTTTCATGTTTCTTTTCTGTCTTCCTAATTTTTTGAAAATAAACATGCCTTTTGCAATTTTTAAAACTTTAAGAAAAGTTCATAGGTAAACATAATGAGATCTGGCAATTATGAAGAAAATAAAAATAGAGACTGGAAAAGACTTATGCTGATAATAAAAAGCAAATAAACTCCAAAGCCTTAAAATTTAACAAGCACCTGTGGAAGGTGAAAGGGAATAAGGAAAAGCAGAAGCCTGAAAACCTGCTGACTTACCAGATACAAATTATTTTTTGTAGGAATGAGAGAACAAGACACATCAGGGTTAGTGAGATTATAGACATAGCAAGTTTTGTTAATCAGGAGACATAACTGAAGAAAAAAAGGGTAAAGGAGGGAATATTCCTTGAAGGGTTCTTCCTGGCCTTACCCTAACCCAGACAACTTACACATCCATCACTGATCTCAGCACGGTCATACCCTACACACACTTCAGTGGTGTCCTCACATCACTGTTCTTGAAATATGCAAATATTCATGGACCAAGGTTTGAACCCAAGAAAAGCAGAAAGTACATATACCAAAACATAATATTTTTAACATATGCAATTTCTGTCTAAATAAGCAAATCTGAAAGAGGGAGAGGGGCAATAAACTCCACCTCTCGTTGGAAGGATTGGTGGCCATCTAGAGTCCACTGCAGCTACCTTGCATTGTTCCACTTAACAAAATTACTGGTGCTCCCTTAACGCCACCAAATACCTAGTGGATGTTGAAATGTCCCCATTGTCTCTAATATCTCCTTTTACAATTGGTTACTTTGAATATAAACACACAGTCCCCACCCCCTTCCCACCCCCCCAAAAAAAAGAATAAGAAAAAAACTAGGAAGACTGCTGTTCATCAAGATAATTTAGATGGCCCTCTTCTCACTTCCACTTTTCTTTTTGGCCAATGAAAGAAGTTTTTGGTGAAAAAGGCCTATTATTTCAAGATTGAGAAGAAAATGGTTGCCAAAATTATTATATAGCATTTGACATTTTTTCCAGAGTACACTTAAGTACAATATTTCATTTAATATTTAAAAGGCTCTTTGGGGAAAAAAAAGTAAAAGGTTCTTTGGAGCCCAGCTGGTGTGGCTCAGTGGTTGAGCCCATGCACCAAAAGGTCACGGGTTCAGGGCACATGCCCAGGTTTCGAGCTTGATCCCTGGTAGGGGGCATGCAGGAAGTAACTGATCGATGCTTCTCTCTCATAGATGTTTCTATCTCTCTCTAAAATCACTAAAAACATATATATATATATATTTTTAAAAGGTTCTTTGGAATTCTTATTATGCCCATGCCATCAATGAGGTAATGGAAACTGAGGATGATGAAAGGACTGCCCAGGCTCGAAACCAGCACAGCTTGAACCTAGAGCTTCTAATTGCCCCATAGGAACACAATTTATTCCATCACCTTGACCTGGACATATAGTACATCTACAGAGGGCAGCTTTTCAGATACAATCATGCACAGCTGGGTAAATAACTATACAATGAAGTAAAAGCACATATATTTATTTCCAAGGCATAATCTATGATATATGAGGTTCTGATTTTGAGAATATATGTGTCTCAGTATTGGTGTATTTGCCTTGATAAGATTAAATATAAGGATGTTATCTATATACTGGAGGCCTGGTACACAAAATTCGTGCACGGGGAGGAAGGGGTCCCCTCAGCCCAGCCTGCACCCTCTCCAATCCAGGACCCCTCGGGGGATGTCTGACTGCCGGTTTAGGCCCGATCCCGGGGATGGGGCCTAAACCAGCAGTCGGACATTCCTTTCACAATCCGGGACCTCTGGCTCCTAACTACTCACCTGCCTGATTGCCACTAACTGCCCCCCCTGCCAGCCTGATCACCCCTAACCGCCTCTGCCTGCTAGCCTGATCGCCCCTAACTGCCCCCCACCCCCGCCAGCCTGGTCGCCCCCAAATGCCCCCCGTGCTGGCCTGGCCGCACCACGCAGCCTGCTGTTCAGTCATTTGGTCGTCTCTCACTAAGCCCCCGGCTGGCCTGGTCGCCCCATGCAACCTGCTATTCAGTCATTCGGTTGTCCCTTACTAACTGCCCTGCCGGCCTGGTAACCACACACAGCCTGCTTTTTGGTCGTTACTGTTACTGTGACGGCGTCCCGGACAATTTGCATATCCCTCTATTATTATTATAGATTAAGTGCACTTTCAACAAAATTCAGAGCAATCTTTTACATTAATGAACATAAGAGCAGTGAAGGAAAATGTTAGTTTGAATATTTTTTAAAAAGAACACAATGAGTTGATATCAATAACTACTGCTCAACAACATTTTAATTTCATAAAAATTGTAAAAGCACACAAGATGCAGTAATAAAACATCACTTCTGTGCTTCAGATAGTCATCATAAGAACCACCCCTGAGTTTTGTTGACTTGTGTCTAACTTTGTATCTTTAGCGCTGTATTTCTGGAGTGATGTTAAAAGAATACGCTTCACCCGGACAGACTGTGTGAGAAAATCTCTACTGCACTGATGGAGTAAAAATGTCCTTCAACAGAAAATGAGGACTTAAGAAATGGAGACTGACCAAAAGATTACTTGAAGACTTAAAAGTCAAAGAGAAATAAGAAAAATTAGGTGAAACCATAAGAGAAGTCATAATTTATTGTGTTCTTCTATGGCACTGAGTGACCAAAGAGAGAGGATTACCATTTTCTTCAAATAAACACACTAAGGCATGGGTGTCAAAGTAGAGCTTCCTACTCCCAGCGGAGGTGAAATCTCGGCGTTTGTGCTCCAACTGTAGGCACCCAGCAGAGAGGCTTAGCTCTAGAACAGAAAGGACAATAAAGTTCAAACAGACATAATGGTAAACAAGAGCAACTCAGCAACATGAAAAAATCAGTCATACCTCAAAAGCCTGTTTTTTCACAAGAGCTTTATTGAGCTATAATTCACATACTACTGTACAACTCACCCATTTCAAGTATATAATTTGATTGTTTTTATTATATACTAGAGACCCAGTGCACAAATTCGTGCATGGGTGGGGTCCCTCAGCCTGGCCGGCGATCAGGGCCATCTTGCCCAGTCCTGATCGGGGCCAGCTGGCTGGGGGAAGGGACTGTGGGAGGTTGGCCAGCTGAAGGAGGTTGGCTGTGGGAATGCACTGACCACCAGGGGGCAGCTCTTGGGTTGAGCATCTGCCCCTGGTGTCAGTGCGCATCATAGTGACCAGTCAACTGGTTATTTGGTTATGACAGTCACTTAGGCTTTTATATATATAGATACAGAGTTGTGCAAGCATCCCCACAATCAACTTTAAAACTCTGTCATCATCCCCCAGAGAAGCCCTATACCTAAACTCCCAACACCCCTACTCCCAGGCAAACACTGATTTACTTTCTGTCTCCATGGATTTGCCTACTCTGGATACTGCATATGAACAGAATCATAAGATATGTGGTATTCTGTACTGATTTCTTTCACCTAGTATGGTGTTTTCAAAGTTCATCCACCTTGTAGTATGTGTCAGTACCATATTTCTTTTTATTGCCAAATACTATTCCATTGTATAAATATACCGATTTTATTTAACCTATTCATTAACTGAACGTCACTTGAGTTGTTTCTTCTTGGCTATTATGAATGCTGCTGCTATGAACATTTGTATATAAGTTTTTGTGTAAACATGTTTTCAGTTCTCTTGGGTACATACCTAGGAGTGGAGCTGCTACACCATACAGTAACTTTATGTTAAACCTTCTGAGGTTACGCCAGACTCTTTTCCAAAGTGGCTGCACCTTTTCACATTCCCAACAGGCATGTATGAGGGTTCCAATTTCTACACATCCTCAACACTTGGTATTATCTTTTTTATTATAGTCATCTTAGCGGGTGTAAAGTGGTATCTCATTGCAGTTTTGATTTACATTTCCCTAATGGCTAATGATGTTGAGCATCTTTCAATGTGATTATTGGACATTTGTATATCTCCTTTGAAGAAATTTCTATTGAGACCCTTTGCCTATTAAAAAAATTGGATTATCTTTTTTATTGCCGAGTTGTAAGAGTTCTTTATATATTTTAGATACATGTTCCGTATTATATAAATGATTTCATATATTCTCTCCCATTCTGTGAGTTGTCTTTCACTTTCTTTGTAGTGCTTTTTGAAGCACAAAAGTTTTTTATTTTAGTGAAGCCCAATTTATTTATTTTTTCCTTTTGTTCCTTGTGCTTTTGGTGTCATATCTAAGAAACTATTGGTTAATTCAAGTACACAAAAATTTACTTCTACGTTTCCTTCTAATTATTTTACAATTTTAGCTCTTACATTTAGGTCTTTGATCGATTTGAGTTAATATTTGTATACTAGAGGCCTGGTGCACAAAATTCGTGCATGGGGGAGAGAGGGTGTGTGGGTCCCTCAGCCCAGGCTGCACCCTCTTCAATCTGGGACCCCACTCATAATCCAAGACTGCTGGCTCTCAACCGCTCACCTGCCTGCCAGCCTGATCACCCCCTAACCACTACCCTACCAGCCTACCTGATCGACGTCTAACTGCTTCCCTGCCGGCCCAATTGCCCCCAATTGCCCTCCCCTGCTAGCCTGGTTGCCCCTAACTGTCCTCCCCTGCAGGCCCGGTCGCCCCTAACTGCCCTCCCTGCAGGCCTG